CGAAAAATAGAGCTACTTATTAAAATGAAGGAAATTTATGAGTAACTAAAAATTCGATTGAAAGTATTTTTCTTTTGCAGATGGATATTTGAATGTAGTATCCTTAACTAATCAACTTCTTGATTCCAGGAAAAAAACTGATTTAGCTTAGGCGTGCAACTAATGCTTTGTGATTTTTCCAGTTCGATCTAGTTCATAATGAATTGACGAAATTTAGCGCATCGCATCTTCCGTTAGAGATTGTTGCATAATGTACTGTTCCGAAAGTGTGCGACTCTGTGATGATGAGAATGATAGATATATTGTGTCTATATTCAAGGTCTTATAGGAGTAGCTACTAATAGTCTTTTTTTACGTATTTCGGATTTTATGGAAACGGCTAGCCATGAGTGGCGCCCATAGAGGCTCCGACGAACGACTAGTCGCTCACATGCCTGTATTATTGTTTCATTGATTTAGAAAATCTTAGCGTAAAAACAGTTACTTTTGTTGAAATATTGCACTACAAGGCATTTCATGAAGTAATTATTTCTGTATACTCCATGCCGTAGATGGGTTTCAACTCCAGGATATTGGATGTTTCATGTGGTTTACATGAAGTGTGTCAGCAGTTTATTGTAAGCATGAAGACTTTATTCAGGCTTATCCAGCTAAAAATTGTAAGCAGTTCAGTAAAGGTGCAAATAAATCCAAAATCAACAGACCCTGTAACTGTTGATGCGCGTGGATTTGAAAATTCTTTTTGGTTTAATCTTACAAATTCTAGCACAGTGAACATTGAATGATGCAACATTTGAATGGAACACCCCAATCACAAGAACGAAGCACATTAATAATTGAGGCGGCTAGCCGTGGTGGCTCCTCTTCGGGACGCCGACGAATGACTAGCCGCTCACTCAGAAAAGCTATTCTAATTAAGGCTACACTGTTTGACAACTTTCAGAATATTTACGCACCCTCTAGATTAGAAAATTTGCAACGATTGTCTAAAATGGCGTCAATCTACTAGCTTTTGCGCAACAACACCATGAAACACTTTGCCTAGCTCACTTAAAATATCTGGAATCTATATATATCGAAAAAGCATTAATAAGTTTAGTTGTTTTCTGAATTGAAAGTGGGATTTTAATTGAATCAAGTAAGTGTCAGAATCTTTTATCTTTGAACATACACACTGGAATGCATATATTTGCACCACGGAGCGAGAACGAACCGGACCGAAATGAGCTCAAATGAAATTGAGCAAAAATTAGATAAGCCGAACGGAAGTCGTAATAAAAAAACAGTAATTGATTAGGTCTGTAATCTATGAGTGTAGATTCCTGTTAGGTTTCTATAGTGTCAAGACTAGTTTGAGTTATAGGATCACTGAAACGAAGTATTTCGATGATAGCTCTCTTGGATGACTGTTTTTCTTTATTTTATATCGAGCTTATTGAAATTTTGCTGAACGTTCTCCAAGCTTCATTAGTTCCGACGCACCTTATTTCACTCTAGTCACTTTGTATACATAAATAGCACTTAAAAAAAGTATTGTTTGATGATACTTACATGTAGGTTTTCTATCGAAGCTTAGCTATCAGTCATTTTTTCCGTTACAATTATTACCAAGCTATAATCCGGGCGATTGAATACTGTCATCAGATAGGGGCCGTATTTAACGTTTCACGGCCATGTACAAACTGTATTGTTCGACCAGGGAATTATCTGAAGTGTCTCACGTAAGCGTTTTTGCTTTTTAAATGCTCATCTCCTTTTAGTAGAGGATTAGCGACACTAAGGTCGCGTTACTTGTTGAATAAGGCAATAAATCACGACTGAATTAATTACTCTGTTGCATAAATATCTTCCGAAACAAACTCCCTACAAGTTCATCATAGACTGCTTTTGTAATTCACAATGAAGTACCATTCTTATTCTTTCAGGAAAGGGTCAGTGAATCCGTAGGGTGAGCGCTATTTGTGATTTCTAGAATGCAAATATTGCATTCGATTGCGTAGTCATAGGTCTTCGCGATAGTTTCTATAAGAAATGATTAATGAAAAGGTTTTATATTTATTTCTTTTCAAAAAGAATATATATGTTTATGAGTCTTGTTTTAGAATAAATGATCGCCAATTAAGAAATAATTGATCTGGAATAAACGTCGATGGAATGGGTTGTGTTATAATTCGACATTCTTGAAGAAAACTTTCATAAGAAACAGCATAACATGTTGATGATGTATATTTCAGACAAAGTGCCAGGCAATCAGGTTCACTCACCATTCGGTAATATAAGTCATATGTAAGGTTGTCTATTCGACCGGTAACTGGATTGAAGGCTCCGGATTGACATTGAATCCATGATGGAAATAGAAATGAAAATAAAACTACGCAGAAAATAAAATATGTCATACTTCACGCTTTATTGTCTCATAGAAAAACTGAGAGAGTTTTGTTGTTACAATGTATTATAAATTCTTTTTTTTCATTGAATGTCGCATATCATCAAGTGATAATTATTGCTGATGCATTCATTCAAGAGGAGAAAAAGAAAAAAGAAGAAATGTTTCCTCAAATTTTATTTAAATTTTGAATTTTCACCAATCGTAGAAAAACACTTTTTCCTATGTTAAATGGTATCTCATCATATAAAATTGTTACCTAGATACATAGCTATGTTTCTTATAGCATTTAACAACAGTATAATCTCAGTAACATATCGTACATCTATCTTTCAAGCATAAATAGACATATTACAAGTATCTCAAGCACCGGAAAGTTTATTTCACATTAGATTGCCTTCAAATTCCTAAAATACTGCAGATGTCACAAGATGTCATACGATTACTCATTCGAATGAGCAAGTCTACAATATGAATCAACTGATATTATTCGCCGAACATACATAAAAATGAAAAATAGTTTGCAATTAAAAATGAATAAAATATATGAATTAATGACATCTATAATCAATGTTGTTGAGTAAGGTGACATATTTTTTTGTGGTATAATACTACTCAATACTTGTTTATTTACTTGTTCTTTTCTCTTTTTTTTACCATGGATTGAAAGACGATCACATTTGTTCTTTCATATGTTTTATTAATTATAATAAAAAAAGCATGGTTCAGCATTGTGTCAATGCTGCTAGTACAGATTTTGCTTCGTACAATGCTAAGAAACAACGTGATGCTGCAGATGTAGTTGGCAGGTAAACTATTTTATTTTCTAATTATTATTATTATTACTATTATCTGCTTCTCTTTACAGTAAATCTTCATCGATAAATAGCAACAACAACAATAATAATAATGCGCTTCACCATCATATACTTACATTGGGCTCAATGCAATATGGTACTGTTGATTTTGTTTCTAATGTATTACCATTGACAACACATTCATATTCACCAATATCAAATGAACCATTGCCATCTGATTCAGCATTGTACTATAAAACAAATACAACTGTATCATCATCATCATCATCTGGTTATGAATCTGTTCTATCGAATACATCAAAATCACGACGCTCATTTTTTTCACGTTTAAAACGTTTAATGAATTTCCCATCGACAAAAAAATTGTCTGATTATCAAATATCAAATATAAATAATACGAATGAACAAAATTTGAATAATGTGACTTCACCAATCGCATTTAAAAATCCAAATCAATCAGCAGGAATGAATAACAATTCGAATGAACAAAGAAAACATTCTTTAACACGTGTAGATATTCGACGAAAATCAACTCGTCGTACATTAGCGCCAGCAACTCAACATGTGCCATTTGTATATGGACTTAAAAATTGTGGCAATACATGGTAAGAATTCTTTTCGTTTGTGTTTTTTTTCACTTTTGGTAGGATCAAGCGAAAGAAAAAGAAAGAATGTGTAAAATATGTTTGTCATTGATTTCATTGTCATCGAACGGCTTGCATAAAATTAGAAGTTAATAATTTTAACTTATTATTAGATATAATTATATACATTTGTATATCTTTGAAATGAAAATGACTTCTTTCTAGTGTTTTTTTCACTCGAAATAGAGAACTAATGATTATGAAATATGGTAATCTTTTGAAACGTATAACTAACTTTAAATACGGTGATCTCTATGGGTTATTATTATGTAAAGTAAATAAGAAGTTTTCTCTGGATGTACCAAAAAAAAAGAATTTCAATAGGAGCTTATTATTTATTGGGCATTTATACATAAAAACTCCAGTAGATTCCTCGTGCTTTAAACTCTAGTAGTTTAGTGTTAAAAGAATTTTGTATAAATCATTAATTTTATATGATGTTATTACTTTATAGTATTAAATAGGATTTTCTATATAATTCCTTGAGGCTGAAAGCGAGAATACTACTTACATGCATTTAAACGTTGGTTACATATAAGTCATTGTAGAGAATTTTATTAGATTATTTACTGCACCATCCAGATACTTTCCTCGAGAGAAACAATTTGATCATGTTGTAAAATCTGTATTACAGTAAATCGACTTCTTCAATATTTTAGTTTTATCAATGCAATTGTTCAATGTTTATGCCATACAGAACAGTTAGCCTCATATTTTCTTCGCAAAGGTTATGAAATCGACATACGTAATATAAAAAATGCAATAGTTGATTATCAACATTCATCCACATCGCAACTGCATGGTTTTAAAGTAACAAAATCGTTCGTACAAATTTTTCAAGCCTTATGGAATAATTCATCGAATACAACATCAAAGTTATCCTATGATTTTAAAACAATCATCGGTAATCTCAATCGACAATATTCCGGCAATGAACAAAATGATGCTCAAGAATTTTTATTATTTCTTATTAATACAATTCACGATGAATTAAATTTAGTTGCGAATAATAGAGTTCGACAACAAACTAAAGTATAGAAAATTTAAATAAAAGACATTTTGTTCCCTAATCAATTGATTTTTAGAATTCATTTTCTTCGACAACAATTTCTTCTCAATCGTCATCATCACTTGCATCTGTTGAATTAGCACGACGTGCTTGGTCAGATTATACAGATGCAAATCAAAGTATCATAACGTCGACATTCAGTGCACAACTTCATTCAACATTACGTTGTAATCAATGTAAACAAGAGAGTAAAACGTTCGAACCCTACTTATTATTATCATTACCAATACCGCAAAAAATTATTAAACCTGTTTTTATTACTGTTGTCTTTCTTAACCAATCGCCTAAACAATTACAAATTGCTTTATGTTTACCAGTAACCAATACAGTGAAAGATGTACGAGAAGCAATTGCTCAACAATCAAATCTTGATCCAAATGATGTAAAATAAAAATTATTTTTGTTGTTGTGAAGAAATTTCATTTCGTTTCTTTTCTTACAGCTTGCTCTTGTCGAAATACAACAGCATACTGGTTTTTCTCAAGTATTTCACGATACAGAGCCAATGTCTCGATTAACACATGATATTTTTGCTATACAATTTCCGTCGTCAAGAACAGAAAGTAATGAACATGTTGCATCTGCTGCCGACTCAACGAATCAATCATCATTATCGAATAATTCATATGTTAATTTACTTGTACTTAATCGTGTACGACTTAATTCTGGCCTTGTTCAAAGATTTGGTGCACCGATAGGTAAAGATTTTATTTAGAATTCAATAATACTATCTTTTTTTCTTCTCTTAAAGCTGTTCGTGTGCCCCGTGAGTCAAATTATCGTGCATTGCAATTGTCAATCATAAAAGCTCAACGATCAATCATACGTGATGAAGCCATGGAGTATGCACAAGAATTTGTTGTTTTTCAATTATCATTGATTGATCAATATCAATCGACTTCTTGTGAAACAATAAAAAAAGAATATCCAATTCTGTATGATGTTCAATGGCCACTTTATCTTGAGAAAATTGTTGAAATACTTGATGCATACGATGGTCCCGGCCTTGGACCCTCACATATACAAGTTTATGCAAATTGGCATGAAAAATATCTCGGACAGTTTATATCGAAATGGGGTTCAAGTGATGATAAACCAGATATTCATCAATCGGTTGCTCAAGCACGTGCAGCTCTACATCAACCATCATCATCATCGTCGATATCTTTAGCTGATTGTTTTTCATTATTTACACAATCGGAAAGTTTAAATCATGTATGTCACATAGGCTTAACGTTGAATAGAAAAATGATATTTGGTTTATTTAGGATGATGCATGGATGTGTACACATTGCCGTCGAAAAGAGAATGGAACAGTAAAAAATTTGAAAATTTCTACATTACCACCAGTTTTAATTATACATTTAAAACGTTTTTGTCAAACAAAAATGTCAAATTCAAAATTAGTCTATCCTGTACAATTTCCACTGGTGGGTCTTGATGTTAGAGGATTTTTATCAACGAAAAAAAATAATGACGATAGTGGAGTTGATGATGATGATCAACAACAAAAACAATATGGACTCTATGACCTTTATTCTGTTTGTAATCATCGTGGGAGTATGTCAAATGGACATTATACTGGTAAGAATTGTTAGAGTTTAATCTTCGGCACTAATTAATATACTTTCTATTGGAAAAACTCAATAATCGTATTTTAATTTTAGCGTATTGTAAAAATTCAGTAACAGAAAAATGGTTTTGTTATGATGACCATCTTGTATCTGAATTGGATCCATCTCGTGTATGTACTCCAGATGCATATATATTATTTTATCGTTGTCGTGATACTCCATCATCTACACCATCGGAATCTATTACTAAATCATCATCATCTCATTCGCAACTACAACAAATCGATGCAACAGTAGATGATTTTGATGAACGATTAAATCTATATTATTCATCATCTTCATCCAATCTTCAAGCATCAACACCAGAAGAAGATTTAACCTGGCCAATCACAAACGAAAAGCAACATCATTATACTCTACAACCACCATTACCATTACCACGAAAACTTTTAACTCCACTACCATCGACATCATCATCCCCAGATGAATTTCCTTCAACACAAACAGCACCCTGTCCAATGCCTCGAGTACGTAAACCACAGTATAAAATCGACGTAGATATGCTGCCATCTGGAATAATCTTACCACCATCACCTCCAACAAGACGACAACAACGAATGACACCAACTACTAATTATCTCTATCCGATCTCATCAACACCATTAAATAATATAATTGAGCCATTGAATGATTTTTATTCATCTTCACAACGGTATAATGATACAGAACGATTGAATCCTTGGAGTCATTATAATAGTCAACGATATGCTGATAGTGAGCAGGAACCTACAGTAGTTTATTCAAGAAACATTTTACGATAGTTATACCCTATATATTCCACTTTTACAAGACAAACAATTATTTTTTTTCTGTGCAAAACAGTAAGTTAACATGAATTAATTTTTTGTGTCCATATTATACAAAGAAAATGAAAACATTTTAAAATTATTTTCTTTGATCCGAGCCTTGTGTGTTATTTGTTGTATAGTGTACATTGCACCGGTAGATTACTTTTTTTTCTTTTAAAAGCTTATTTGTTGATCTTTACACACTTTATTTAATTAGTATTCGTTGAGCATTCGATTGTTCTTTTTTCTTTTTTTTCGAGTTTGTTGTATGTATATGAATATATTTAAAGAACGTCTCGATCTGTCCTATGCTTTTGCGAAGCTTGTTTATATTGTCCGCATGCGGGTACACGAAAATATATGAATAAAAAATAGACGCCATGTGAAAGTCAAAATATATACATCACTTTTTAAAGACATCGTCAAATAGTACAAAAGCAGCAAATTCAATTCTTCGGTTTCATGCATGCAAAGTCACAAGATAGTCACACGAATCTCTGAACTTTGGTCGACAGTAAAAATGTCAACAGTAAAATATCGAAAACTAAGTAGGGATTCATGAAAACATTTTCCCGATAGGTGTAAACTCGTTTAGTCAACGTTGTTTTATTTGTTCACGAGTTTTTTTGACTTGAAGAGATTCAGAATTTGCTGGGTGCCCATGGTCAGTTTTATCACCAGATAAATAATTCTGACCTATATCAGTATGAACATATACGCCACAATCTTTTTTATTGGGCTTTTTTTTGTTGCATTTGTATATGTACTGATTCATTATTAAAAGAGGTTGTCCCTTATTCGAAGTAATGAAATTAAAATCACTGTTGATGTTGCGTGTCGATTCCGTGGCGGCTTCAATATGTATATTTATCACTCGAATAATGAGTAATTGAAGGATAATTTTCTTATTCTTTTCTATTACATTGTATTAATAGTGACCAATGTCTGATAGACCAATGATAAATTTAAACGAACATAAGTCGCCGTCGATCCTACAATAATAACATTTTCATCGAGTATCTTTCAAAACATTCCTTCTTTTAGAATTTTTATTTTATTTTTATAAATTTATTTCGGCATTTTTATTTTCGACATTTTTACTGTCGACCAAAGTTGAGTTTACCCCTGTCGCATGTACGCCAAGTCACTGCCCTCCTACTTGTACGTAATACCAACGTACACTGCCATACCAGTCCAACTAGGTTGGCTCTATGCTTATCCGTTTCTGTGTACGATGGGAGTCTTTCTGGTAACACGCGCGTGCACGAATAGTAAATAGTCTATAGTTATCAAAGCAATTTTATTGAGTAAATCAAAGGGAAAAAATTAATATTTCACTGTTTCTTTCGAATTTTTTCAAATGTTTCTCTATATTCTAGGAGATGTGGATGAGTTGACGTTAATTTCTCTTGTCCAATTTCAACAGCTTGTTGAACATATTTCATTGCCATACTATATTGTTGAGTTGAGAAATGCAGTTTTGACATATTGTGATATATTACAGCTAAATCAGGATGCTTTTGTGCGAGTTTTTCTTTACGTACTTTTAATCCTTTCTGAAAATATGTTAAAGCTGTTGAATAATCTTTCATTTCACGAAAAGTTTCACCTTAATTCGTATATGTTGTTGCACATTTGAGAGGATTACGTTTTACCTTTTCTTGAATATTTAACGCTTTGCGATGAAATGCGAGTGCTTTCTCATAATCACCCATTAGATGATGTATATCGCCAATATTACTGTATGTTAATCCGAAATCGGGATGATTTTCTGGTAAAGTTTTTCTAACTATTGTGAGACATTTTTCAAAATAATCTAGTGCTTTTGAGTACTCTTTCAAGTCCCGATATACGCTTCCGTACCAACTGAATGTTGAAGCAAAAGCTTGATTACCTTCTTGAAATGTTTTTTCTTGAATTTGATAAGCATTTTGAAGAACCTTAAGTGCTGCTGCATAGTAGCCCAATTCTCGTAGCAGGCTGAAAAGTTCAGATAAGTATCAGTCAAATTGAGATGAGTTGGAGGTAGAGCCTTTTCTCTTATTTTGAGCAATTTTTCGTAATATTCAAGTGCTTTCGAGTAGTCACTCATCATGTAATACACTTGACCGATGTTGCTACACATTGTACCTAAACTTAAATGATCATCTGGGAGAGGTTTCTGGTAGATTTCAAGAGATTTTCCATAGAACAAAACTGCTTCCTTGTATTGCCCTTGGTCTCTTTTGACCCATCCTAGAAGATTATAAACATTAGCTCTCTCGCTGTCATCGGAAGAATTCTCGAGTAATTCATTGTAGAGTTCTTCAGCTTGATCGAAATAACCCATTCTGGGAATCAATTGACCCATTCGATACCATCCTCCACCATCGATTTCCTCTTTCATTCAATGAGTAAGACCGGCAAGTTCTGGATCACTCTGGCCTATTATAGTCAACTGTACTTCCCAAAAACGGTCATTATTAGCCGTCTATTTAATTTCAATAACACGAAAAACAGTGTGCATTGTAAAAACTATTTTTTGTGAAAGAGAACTGCGCTCATCAATCATAGCAAATGGAGTGATTGAAGTTGATATTTTACTTGGATCTATTGCCATGATAAAAATAGCACCAACAGTATCTTGATGTCTCTTTTGGACCCCATCAACAAATGCTGTTGCCACTCCTTTTTTCTTGCTAGTTGATAAGAAGTTGTTAAATGAAAGGAGTTCACCTTTTGAATGCATTAGACTCTGAGAGTCTTGTTGATTGAGCCATTGACCACGATAAATAATGAGCGCTTTTTGGAAATTCGCTGATTGTTCCTGGTGAAATTCTTTCAGTTGTAGATGTAAACTTCGAATAAAAAAGCCTAATTTCGCCATCGCTTCCATATCAAGCAATCGTAACCCACGATTAAACATATCATAAAGAACTTTTGTATACCACATGACGGGAGATTCCTGGTGGTAGTTCCGCTTAAATTCATTTATTTCTTTTTCAGGAATATTTTGTTGGTGGCAAAAGTTTACTAAAGCTTTCATAGATTTAGCGTCATCGTCATCTATTTCTAATAGGATATCCTGGAAAATCACCGAGTACATGTATGATGGCGGTAATTGATCAAGATTGTTTTGATCCAAGCCTGTTGCCCCTTCTGTGATCATTTGTTTCGGAACGAAGCTCATAGGAATTGAATCATGATCACATTCACGGGTGACCTTTTTGAACGATTCACATATTGGTTTAATTGAGGTAAAAACACCTCGAATCTTGGGCCATTCCTTTGTCCATGATTCATGATACTCCTTGTTGCCAAAGAACATGTAAATTGCATCCACTTGTGTCGTGCCATGAATGTTCGAGACGAGACGCTGACCCAATGCTCCCGATGAAATGATAAAAGCCTTTCCGTTATCAATTTCATTGATATATTCGATACACTATTCTGGTGTCGTGCAAATATTCACCTCGCTCACCACTGCACGCAAATGTGCCAGTGTATTTCGACAGTCTTCAGTATTTTCAGTGATGTTGCCATCGACCCAAATAACCAAATAATTTTGAGCCATACGACGTCTTGATGGCATAGCACGTAATGGTACTGGTCTACCTGAAGTACCACTAACTGTTGATTCTGAAATAGTCGACGTGGGGGGTTTTCCACCCATATTGAATAAGTATATTGTTGCTTGATCAAAGTCGAGAAGTGTGAAAGAATTTTGTTATTTATACAGAAATTACTGTTTCTATTTCTATAGTCGATGCCTTTTCTTTTTTTCTCGATTTTTCGGCGACATATATAATCTGAGTGTTTTTTTTCTACTTGACACAACAAGAGATTCTGCTTGATTTCACAATTGAAAATACAGTACCCAGGTGAATGAATCGAACAACGGATCTTATCGAATCCTATGGGATCCGGCTCCCCGGCAGAATCCGATAGGATTCCTGGACACGGACCTATTGTCGGTTCCGACGAAAAAAAATCATTTTCTTATTCACGATCAAATAAGCATTTTGAGCCATCAGAGCGCAAGGGTGATTCGTTAGAGTTGGATCCCGTTAAAATCCAACATAGGATCCGACTATAGGTCCGTGTCCAGGAATCCCAGAAGATTTCGTCGACTTTATTGAAACACATATGTTATATTCGGTATATTCACTGTCTGACCCTTGTCGGAATCCGATAGGATCCTACTGTCGGAATGATTCTCCTGGATGGATAGTCAATAGACAATAGAAAGAACAGAAAGAATTCCAACATTGCCATTTTTTTCAACTTTCATTTGATTTTCATCTGTACGAAAACTCAAGTGAGATTATATTTGATGTCTCGCTTACCTCATCGTTTATTTTTCTGTTTTGGTAAAAACGAAAAAAATCTAAAATTTCATTCATTCATTCATTCATTAGCTTTTTTTCATTATGAATGGGAACTATTCCTGTTGAAATGAGCGACGCCAACACATTACCAATTATGTTTCTTATCATTTTCTTTATCAGCTCAATCTCAAATTTACAATGTGAAAAGAAACTGCCCAAAAAACAAATTTATGCAGAAATTTTGATTTTGAGGCTCTTCAAACTTTGATGCACTTTTTTCTCAAAAAGTAAATCAATGAATTAGAACAGCAATAGAAATAAAAACATGCTCATGTTGCATACAAATCTTTTTTTTATTCAAACTAATTCAATCTTGACAGTGCATAAAATTATAAAAAAAAAACTCCATTTGATACATGTCAAAAACCTATATTCCAACTCCAACTATTTTTCATCATATTCAAGAGTCACAATATCAACTAGAACTTTCTATTTGCATATAAAGATTACAAACATTTTTTTCTATACGAGACATGACGAACATAGTGAATTTTATTAGTATATGATATTATAGAAAAACTAAATCATTCGAGGACTTCTATGTTGAAGACATTTTTGCGTGAAAGAAACACAATGCTGACACTGAGTTGCATGATTCCATTTTTGATTTCTTCTAAATTGTACAAGTATGAAAATAAAGAAAGATCAACAAAAAATGCATTGATAAAGAAAAAAATCATCGTTAAAGAACGAACATGCATGAGGGCAATCTTATTATGATGTTTTCGTTCCTGTGTATGGTGAATGAAAATATAAAGATGGATTACTTTTGCAATGCATTCTTAAATTCAAAAACTTATACACTACTAATAAATAGATCCATCATTATGTATATACGATGAATTTTTTACAAAAGAAGAGATCTGATTCATGTTGTGGAGAATTAAAATTTGCAGCAAATTCACTTTCATTAAAAAAAATGAATCTGTGACAAAATGGTTATGCACACGTTCGCGGGGATGATAGCGAAGGAGAGATAGGTGAGGATGAGAGCTGTGCCCTTTTCCCTCTCAGTAACAGAGATGCGACATCTCCGTACCCCTATAGTTGTATAAGTATTTTGAATTTGCGGAAATTTCAAACTCCCCGGTAACTCTTCAAATGAATTAAAATTTCGATTACTCATTTTTCTTCTTGTTTTCAATGTTATCATGAATTTGACTGGTGCTACGCACAAACTTGAATGCCATCTAATCTAATTGACAATCATAATTAATAAAATAACTAACTCTAATGTTCTCTATTATTCTATTTCATCTATTTTATTTTATCAAAATAGTAACTATACAGTATACAACGACTATTTGTTTTCACAACAGAATATTAATAAACAAACACGAGTTAAAGCAATATTCAAAAGGAAAAAAATTCTTTTTTTATCATTAACATATTATTCGAAAAATAAACTACATTAATTTAATATGAAACAAGATTTTCAACATGAGTATTGGTATCGTTATAGACACGCTCTTTTGTTTGATTGGCATCAACAACAAGAATAGGAATAGATAAATTTGTATTATGTCGGTTTATAAGCCATTCTTCATGACATTCGTGTAATTTTTGTAAGTAATCAAGGCTAATAGATTCTTCTTCTGATCGTTTACGCGCGTGAATACGTTGCAGACATGTTTCAGGTGTTGCTCGTAAATAAACTATTAGTATGTAAACAAAAAAATCTGTCCTAATAAAATCAATGAAAATAATATTTACTGATCAGATCGAGATGACAGGAACCATTCGAAATAAGCAGTTGAAACCAATCTTTTAAAATTTCATATTCAACACCTTGAAGAATTTTGCTTGAAAATAAAAAACGATATTTAAAAAGAAAACTCCATCGATTACAATACATTTATACCTTCGATATAAATTTTCAACGAAGCAATGTCGAGCACTATAAATTGATCGTTCCATAACTTTAACAGGTGCTTTTGTTGGTTGCGCATGCAGCTTTGCTAATGTCATTTGTGCATTAGCTTGAAAAGCAAAACCCCATCGCTGTGGATCGTCATAGAGCATTGCCTAGATAAATAAAATAAATAAGATTTTATTTTTTCAACTTTTTATTTACTAGAATATTATGTCCATTCAAATTTGTCCAACTATCAATAGGTTCAGCAACAATCTAATAGAACAGAGAGAAATATCTTATCATTCAAATCCTTTATAAATTATTACGTCACATAATGAAGAATTAGCAAGATGAGCAAGTACACTACTCTTCCTAAAAAATATCAGACGAAACATAGTTCTAGAAGTAGACACTATTACAGTTGATCTTACCCTGAACCGATATTTCCTTCGACAGCAATCTAACGAGAGAAAAGAATAGTGTCAAATTCGATGCCTAGAAAATACACTCACAGTAAATTTTTTACTCGACGATGACATTATTTAAACTCCACGGGATTTGAGTAAACCTAAACATAAATAAATATCAACAATTATTCTTAAAGACGAAAATGTCATGTCAAATAATAGACATTCATTTGACAAGTGTTTCACAGTGAACGTACAAATTAGTGTTCTATTGTCTGACATGATATAATATCAGATGGTGAAACACTTTTGTAATAGGTAACACCAACTTTCATTCTATCATACCAAACAAGTAAACACTGGCAAAGAGAAAAGGAAAAAAATGACATGATATTGTGAAGGTGTGTTCCAATCGTTAAACATTCAAAAATAAGCCTAACGGTATTACTTCTACACACATCTTTTGTTCATAGTACCAAACCAATAGAAAAAAAATGCTTTTTATCTATTTGAAATATTTTCCAATAATATCTCGAATTTCTCGTATGTTTACGTAACTCATTGATATTCCAAATAATTGACTGACTCGATATAAAAACCGCGAAAAGCGACCTCTTGTTATCTGGTTTGATTCGATATCGATTGAATCATACATACATGTAATCTTTCGTAATGTTCAGTCATTGTTTCATTCTTTGGAACCAATTTATTTACTAAAAATAAAAATAACACAATATTATCGAAATTATGGGTTTTTTAATCGAAAAATAAATTTAAATCGTCCAGTCGAATCCATTAGATGAATTCGGTCAATTTTTAATTTCTTCATGTCCGTTGTGTAAACTTTCATAAATCGTTCATTAATTCTATCGAAATCATTTTCATGTATTTCTCCTAAAGTTAATGTACCATCATATTTGTTTTCGTCTAAAATATTCAATCGACGAAATAGTTCTATATCAGTTGTTTTTAGAAAAAGACGTGATGTCATTGGATCAAAACCCATTGAATTTGAATCAAAATCAAGTGTAAATTATTAATTGTAAATAAATTCTCTGGATGATTTTCTCTACTAATCATATAGACACGATCAACAGTAAATTCAGTTGTTGTCCATCGAGCTTTTATTTCATCAAGTATATCGGAAATTTTCGACACTGTTGCTTGACCAAGTGTAAGGTGTGCTTCAAATGCGCGTTTATTTTTAATTACTTTTTGAAGTTCAACAGCATCTGTACTGATTTTCGGTCTTAAGTGAAATGTACATTGGTCATCTCGTTGTCCGATATAATCAAATGATGATAGATCGAATACGATTTGAAAGGGTGTTTTTCGATTAACAACAGGTTTTAATTGAGCTTTAATGTTATCGAATTTTTTTTCAGCTGTAAACGGATATATTAGATTAATATGTGGCATCCAACGTGGATAAGCTTGGTCGTGTATTGAACGAATCGATTGAATTTGTTTCCACACATGTTTCGGTGGTATTATGCATAAGGCTGTTTGTGTTGTTGTTACATTTGTCACTGTATCATGCAGAAAAAGAAAAACAGCTGTATATATATATATACTTTCACTAACGGTCTGTGAAGCATCAAAATAAATAATGAAATATAGAGTATTGCGTCATTATGGTGACAAGAAAAAGTAGCGATTACTTTTGATTTCACCATTTTTAGTGTGACAGTATATTTTAATTAAAGAAAAATATTGACTTGGATTTGTTTTGGATAGACTCGAAAGAATTTTTCTTTCATATTTGTCATCCTTGAGCATTGGTGTTATTCGAGTTTGTTTAAACACTTAACAACTAGTGTCCGATTACGTGTTGATGTTCGTAGCCAACTTGAAGTTTTCACTTTTAATAGAAAAAGAAAGCAGGAAAAAAAATCATCGATTCTCTTCTTTTGCTTCTCGTTTCTATTTAACAAAGAGCAATCCGTAGCAATAACTGCGGTTGGTACGCGTCGCTCATTCTCTATCGTTGTGTCGTTCACATACAGCGTTAGAATAGACTCAAAACACGTTAAGCAAAGACAGGCTTTTTCTTCTTACATTCAGCAGTAGTAAATTAAGAGCAAAAAAAAGAGACTGACAGACAGCAGAAAGTAAAGTAACAGTCACAACACATCAAGTTCTTTTCTTCTTCTCGTAGATTATGACAAATTCAGCTACAACACCGGGATTGATAAATATGTCGGAATATCCAATGCGTGAACCACAAAATGCTCAAGAACTCGTGAATTTAGTAATAACATATTTTATAGTCAAAATTGCATTGATCACTGTTCTTTGTTAAGGTTCAAAATACTATTTCTCAAATACAAGATAAATTTGGACAAATGAGTGACACAATTATGACAAGAAGTAAATGATTTTTATTTATAAAGAGCTAATTTTCATTTTATTTATTTGTTTCGTGTTCTAGTTGATGACATGGGTCGACGCATCGATGATCTCGAACGTAATATTGCACATGTAATTGCACAAACAAATGCTGAATTATCATAATTTGTTTTCATCAATATCATGCTAATCTCTTACTACTAACTAAATTCTTTCTCGTTGTTCGTATTATGTTTTTGATAGTAGTATTTGATTTAACATTTAAAAATGTATTTGCTTTCATCAACATTTTTGTTTTGCTATAAAAATTTTGATGAGAAAATTGCAAGTAGAAAAATTAAAAGAAATATGTTGCAAATAAAGTTTAATAAATATATATATTTTTTGCGCACAATATAAACTATTCCCCAATTATCTGATTAGAATAATTATACACAGCAAGCAAAGAAAGAAAAGATGAAAATAATTCATGTACAATTGAATAATTCACCAAACGATGATGCGATCAATAGAATATTAAGAAGTGAAGCAGACCCAAATCGATTGCAGTCCTGAATATGTCTATTATTTGTTTTCATTGTTGCTTATTTAATTTGGGTAGTGAACGTGTCGCGGCATTTCGAGTAATGGGACCTTTTCTTGGATCAAGAACACGTTTATCCATAGGAATATTTCTAAATAAAAGTAAGAAAAAGAAGAAAAAAAAACGAAGTGCATATTGTGCCGTTCTCTAAGCAAACATACTCGTTCGGTTCTCGATTACTTAGCAGCCCATTTCGTTCAGTTTTATTTGGTTCAGTTGGTTGAGTGCGTTCTTTCATAACAGAAATTGCATCTGTTATTAATTAAGTAAATTAAAATTTAGATATTTATTCTTATTCAAATACAAAATTATCCTACTTCGAATATCAGTAATTTCATTGGTTAATATTTTTCGTTCTTCATTTGCTTTATGATAAGCCTTAAGAGCAAGAAACAAATTCACTATTTAGTTTTCGATTGCAAAGTCAAAAGAAAAACCTTATTTTCTTGTTCTAATCGCCATTCATAATCACGTAGTTGACTTAACAAATTTTTTTTTTCATTTTCAACCACGCTCAATACTTCTTGACTAACCTTGAAGAAAAAACAAAATTAGATTATTTAAAACATATTAACAAAGCAATTGATTTTACTTCATTTGGATCAGCTTTCGCTACACGTGTTTTTGCTAAAATAAAACAGACAAATTAAAGTCTTTACATTAACGATTCATGTTTCTACAAACCAGTCTTTTGTTCTTCTTTTGCTTGATCAATATTTTTTTCTAGTAGAAGAATTTGCCGTGCTAAATGACGATTAATTTCTTCTTGATTTTCAAAACGTGTTTTCCATTCGTTGCCTATTCATAATAATAGACGTTCGAATGCAATTCAAATAAGAAAGAAAAACAAACAAACAAACAAACAGCTTTGCTTTTTATTTCATCAAACAGTTGCTTTGTTTTGACGGATAAAAGCATTGTGTGATTAGATTTAGCTTTCTCTCTGTTGTGTTTAACACGAAAAAAATACCTTCTATTTGTCCACCTACATCAATGTGAGTACTCACTATATATATATATATATATAATTTCGTTTCAAACTAATTTTTTAAACATTGAAATTAAGACAAAACAAATGGTTTTAACTTACTCTCTTCATCAATCATTTTTAATCGTTTTTCTAACTCAGCAGCTGTATTTTGTAATTCATGACACGATTGTTCAAGTGATGATCTATTCATAGAAAAATTAAAATAGTCTATTGTTTCCTATAAGAAGAAAAGTAAATCAAATTTTACTTTATCTGTTCTTCTTGATGAATTTCAGCTTTAAGTCGTTCGATTTCTGATGAATTGTGTGGCGTAGTCATATTGAAAAAACAGCAACAATACTATCTACAAGATTAATTATGAAAAATGAAAATTCATATTGAAAGACACTATTTTTTATTTGAAAAAAAAACGTTCTTTTTTATTATTATTTAACATAAGGATTATTTAAGGCCAATAGAGACTGAGATAAGCTTCTTTACGTTGAAGTTTTTTTGTCACTTTATCATCAACGAGCTAAACAAATAGAGACGAATGTTTCGAAATAGTATGGAATTAAATACAATTGAATTACTTGGATTTTAGCTGAAGTACCAGCATGTTCATGAACGTAAGAACAATCACGAACTTTTTGAAAGGCTTGAAGATATCTAAAACAATAGAATGATGTTAAATAGAGTTAAAGTTTACTTTTTTTGATCTCATACGTTCGTTTGAATTTTTCTTGCCATTGCCAGTTAAAATTGTAACAAGTAGCACAAAGAATTTCTTTTCGATATTGATAGTAATCTCCAACAGGTGTTTGAAGGCAAATAAGGCACTTAAAAGTAGATTTCAAGAATTTTTTACAAAGAAAAAACAACGAAAATCATCGTCCAAACCTTATCGGTGTTGAAAGACATACATTTTGTTTTCACAAGAGGCACAAGTTTTGTTCGACCACCAAAGTTATGCAGCATGTGAACTTGACGATTTTGTTTCACATCACATTCATAACTACCGGGTCTTTCGTATTCAAAACAAAAGAACAAACTCATACTAGAGTGGATTTAAAATTAAGCAACTATTTTATACCCTGGAGCACCAGCACTTTTGCAACGTGTATGAAACCGTTGAGAAGCGGCATTAAAAGGTTTAAACGACCGTTTTTTATCTGGTAAATGAGTTAGATCCATTTGATATGCATCCGGACTTGGTACATCAGTCTATTGAAAGTAGAAAGTGAATAATTCAATTATTCTCTCCTTGGAACAAGAAAAAACGAATCAAGCAAAGCTTCCTGTTGAATCACTTTTGGCTCGAAGGTTTTCCGTTCTTCTGTTCGTGCATTGAAAGTATAGCCACGACGACTCATCGGTTGATGATCAAGAACATATCGAAATGTACTCTTGTCTTCATTATTGTAGGAGCCCGGCCCACTAATAAAGCAATAGATAATGCATAGAAAGCAAGCTATGAATAAATTAAATAGAAATTTACAGCTGTGGCACACCGCGTAATGGTGTTTGATGATTCCCAAAGCAATCATGTGCTATATCGGTAGGAAATGTCGGTCGATTCTGTACTGTTGTGCCAAAAGCAACATCTGATGAAACAGTTTTTTCAGCTGAGAAAAGCAAGAAAAGCAAATCATGCAAAGAATCATTGAATATGTATAAAAAAAATCTAGTTTAAAAGAGTTAAATACTAGAAAATAGTTCTTACCAAACAACATTTTAATATACCGATATTTTGATTAGAATTGATTCATAATACCATTCTGTCAAATAAATCAAAAATGTCACCTTGACGACAAATAGTAGCTTTATGATAGATGTCGTCGTTTTTTCAACATTAAAAAATTACTAAATTGAAACATTTATTTAAATCTAGACGAGAAATATGATAAAATAAGTATTCTATGGATTTATTGAGAGTGTTCTATGATTTACTTCATGTATAAAGTCTGTTACTTAGAAAGTTTTTCAAACATGGCATTTATTTTGTATTGAGTGAATTGAGAAAAAGGCTTGTTTATAGTAGTGCTTGTTTTTCTGATGGCTGCAACTCTTTATCCACCTTTACGTATTCGTGATATTCCTGGTCCACAACCTGGTCAATTCGGTGTGGTAAATAAAAACTTTGATAATTATTTGAACTCACTATTCAATCGTCTTGTTTTGACTTGTTTCATTTTAGCTTGAAAAAGCCTATCGACCACATAAAAATCTTGTAGCACAAAATCGTGAACTTGAAGCGATACGTGAAACACGAGATAAGCAAAATCGAGAAGCTAAAACTGAATTAAATAAAATACAATTCGATGAATTATCATCAACAAAAGCTTTTCATGCTGAAGTACGACGTGAAGTTGAACGAAGATTGAATCATACAGATCATAAACTTGAAGAACGTCGTGAACGGTAGTTATAATTCTTATTGAATAAGAGTTAAAACAACCTTGAAACTTCACTTTCTAGTCTGCGTGATTTACTTGCTACTGAAGAAGCACAATTTCTTGCAGAAACAGCATCATCTCAAGAAAGTTTAAGTGAACGTATTGGAAAAATGCGCCAAAAAGCTAAACGTATACGTGAAGAAAAAGAAAGTGAACATGCACGACTCGTACAAGAGAAATATGATCAACGTTTTCGTCGTGATTGTGCTGAATTACGTGAACTTCAATCGAAAGAATTAGATTACGAATTGGGTAATGAGCATTTATGGCAAATGAAAGAAAAATTCGATAGAAAAAAAGATCATCAAGTAAGAGTTTTTTTTTTCTAGTTTTATAAATGAACAAATCATTTAAACATTAGGCAGAAGAAGAATTTTGGACTAAATTATGGTATGATGATATTGCTAAAAAGAAAGAACGTGAAGATCGTGATGCACAAGAAGCAAAAGCAAAATCTGAAAGCATGTCTAAAATCATACGTGAACAAATGCAAGCAATAGACGCCGATCGTGGTTTACAGAAAAGCAAACGAAAAGAATATTCAGAAGCTGCCGTAAATATTTTCATTGATTCGACTACTAATTGAATTTTTTAAACTTTTACAGTGGGCACAATTTCGTGCTCAAAAAGATGAGCAAGCTGCTGAATTTCAAGAAAAACTACGTAAACAAGAAGAACAAAAACGTATACTTGATACAGTTTTAACGTAAATTTGTCATTGATATGAATTCAAATAATTTGATTTTCGAGTTATTTTTAGTACAAAACAAAAAATTCAACTACGCAAAGCCGAACAAGAAAAGGCGCTTGATGACAAACTTGCTGAAGAAACTCAGCATGCAACTCTCAGTGATGACATGGAAAGAAGGCAACGAAAGGTTTCAATATCGTTTTTTTGTCACAATTTTTGAGTTAACAAAGAAGAAACTCAAACTTGTTTATTTTAGTACGAGCTTCGTGATGAAAATCAACGTTATCGTGCTTATTTGGAACAACGCAAACTTGACGAACAAAGACAACAAATTGAACTTGATCGTTTTCTACAAATTGAAGCAGATAGACAAAATGCTATGCGTGCAGGAAAATTACGTGCTGAACAAGATAAACGTAATAAACTTCTTCAAGAAGTTATTGTAGGTCGACAACAACAGTTAAATGAGCGAAGTATAATTCAATCTGTTTAATCAATGAACAGTTGCATTTGGTCATTTCGATTTTAGATGAAAGAAAAGCACAAGAAAACAGTGAACATCAATGGCAAGTTGATAATATGAAAACAATTTCTGAACAAGTTAAACTAGAAGATGCAGATCGTGAAGCACGTAATCGAACGAAACGACTTGCTTATCGAAGTGATTTAATGGGGCAAATGAGTTATGAACAACGCAAGAAACAAGAGGTACAGTTTAGATAATCAGAGAGTAACAAAAAAACAAAGCTAAATTCCAATTTTATTAGGAAGAATACGAGATTCGACGTGAACAAGCCGAAGGCATGCAAGCAGAAATTGAATATCAGAAACGCCTTAATTTTGAACTTCAACAAACTGGTGTTGCTTATCCACATCCGATTCGTCAATGGTATTCAGCTAAAACGTACGTGGTTGTATTATTGATTAATAAGCTTTTAAAAATAAATTTTCCGCTTCTTATAGAGGAACATTCTATCGACCAGAAAAACCAGCTATGTTCGATGATGATAATCCAGCGAATGGCAATGAAAATCTTAGTATTGTACCCCGACGTAATACTACAGCACCAGAACAAACTCGTTCTAATTTACCCGTGCCCATTGTGTATCATTAACAGACATTCTTTTGTTTCTATTTTAAACTTAATTGACATTTGCTCATTTTTATTTTCTGGCACATTTTATTACAGATGACAATGGAAGATAAGCAAATAAGAGCACGCTTAAAATCAAAATATATCAATAGAAAGAAAAATTCTTGTAAACCATCGTAATGCTGAAAAATTCATATCGTATATAACGAAGTATTTTTGCTAGGTTTGAAAAAGAAAAATACTATAAGCGACTTCATTGTTTCTTCAATAATCCAGTCAAGACCCTGTTTTTCACGACAATAAAATTTAAAAAAAGACTCCCTCTATTATGACATTGCAATAGATTCAAATATCAAAATGCTTGCTTATATAAATCAAAGCTTACTTATTTCCAATCATAACACCGACGGTTTATATAGGAGATTTCATCATATTTATAAAAAGAAAAGGACAACAATGAGGTACACCTTGCAATATCGCGCAAACGCCATACAAATTTCATTATGAGTAAAGATGTGAGCAGTTTTCGATGTTTGTATATTTATATTCTCAATAATCGGTAGTTATATTGTCTCGTATGAGTATTAGTATTAAAGATGTCTACTTTTCGGTAGTGTTTATTGATAGTTAATCGAAAAGTTTTTATTCATTCTTTAACGAATATTCTTTTTTAAAATGTCAATGTGACATCAAATATTATTTTATGATTGATAAAAGGATGCGTTTGTAATCACCTGATGTATCTCCACTAACATCTTGAGTTAATGAATGCTTATACATTTGTTGATAACGTTCTTTGATTTGTACAAGATCAATCTGGCAATGAGATTTCGAAAAAGAAAATTCAATTCAATACGTCATGTTATGTTTTAATTTACCTCAGAACGTGTAACGATGACACGAATAAGTGTTGAATCGTTGGTACCTAAGCCAACAACTGCTTTATGAATACGTTCAGCAAAAAACGAGGGTCGATCCCGAATGCAAGTTATCAGAACAAGATAGGCATCTTTTATGTCACCAGAAAATTCTGATTGAATTACTTTCGCAATATCGGTGTGATGTTTCTAGGGAAAAGAAATTGAAAAAAGAAAATTTTTCTTATGTAACAAAACTAAGAATTTCACTTTTTGATATTCTTCAAAAATAGCACGAAGTTGATAATAATTACGTTGGGCAAAAATGGCATTGAATGTTTTCTCATCTGTTCCTATTTTACCAGCACCAGCCTTATACAAAGCATCAGCATCTTGACGAGCACGATTTCTATGAAAACGATAAGAAAATAGAAATAAATTTTCAAGAAATTTAGAATCTCTACCGATCAATAACGCTTTCAATGCCCATTTGACGAGCTTGTTGAATTTGTTGTGGACTTAACTCATCTCGATTAGCCTTAAAAGAATATTTTACTATAATAGAGTGGCTGTAGAAGAAAATAATATATGTTTACCTGTACAGCAGAAATGAGAATTCGTTTAAAATCAGCTCCTCGTACATGCTTGCTAATTTCTTTTTCAAGATCCTTGTTAAATGCTATCCAATATATTAGAATAGAAATCATTTGAAAGTAGCTAAATTTTATATTTACTTCGTTTATACGATTCAACAATTCCTCGAATTTCACTATTTGTTCTAGTAAGCAAAATTTCACGTAGAGTTCCTTCTTTACTCGCCTAAAAAGGCAAATAATATATACGATGGTGAATTGAGTGTATCAAAGAAATACAAACAGTTAATGCCTGATGTATTGACCATGCATCAAAATTTGCAGGTGTATCAAATAAAGCAGAAATTGTTTCTTTAAAGTTTCCACTTGTTTCTCCAGAAATTTGTTTCACTAAATCCTATAAATTACAGAACAATGCAATGTCTGATTTAATTTTGCATAATACTTACCGTGCCATACATTGATTTATACTGATGTTTGATCTGTTGGCGTTGTGCATTAGATCGGTTAACAATAATATCGATTAGAGCTTTTTCATTCGTACCTTCATATGGGAATAAATTTCAACAACAATATACCTAAAGTCAGCGTATTCTCCATTTCTAATTTACCTGCTCCTTTCATTGCTTGCACGAATGCTTGACAATCTGCATCGATATTAAAATTCGATACCGGGAAAATTGTTCCTCGATATTGCTCTAAACTAGCAAGTGAAATAGAAGGTTGTTCTTCAGGATAAAATGTTTGTTGTTGTGGTTGGTATGAAGGAGCTGTTGCACCACCCTGAAATATCAAAATTGAAATAACAAATAATTTTCAAGTATTGTGAAGAAAGAATTATTAATTACAGCATAATTAGATTGCGTTGCCGGCGATTGTATGTTTGGATATAAGCCGCCAGGTAAAGATGATGCTGTTGCCTGAGAGTATGGCGGTTGATATTGTGAATTACCATAATCTCAAAAATAAGTAAATGATTTTGATATATATATATATATATATAGGAATAATTGATTCATGCTTACCTCCATATTGTTGCGGGGGCTGATTTAACATAGGTGAAGGCATCTGTCCACCAGGTGGTGGAAGTGACTGGTAATCGTTGCCACGTCCATAATCATAAGGATTGCCAGATGTTTGATTTCCACCATAGGATGGTGCTAAATAATTATCATAACTCGACATTTGAGGAGTTGGCATACCATAAGGTGATGCAAACGGTTGATTATTAGCATACATGGGTATTGGTGGCGGAGGATAGGCAGGATATGGAGGATATGCAGAATTACCTGTAGCATACGGTGCTGGATAATCACCAGCTGGATTTCCATAAGGGTAGCCACTCATGGTAATTGGACTCTGTTAATATTACTTCAGTCGACAATTATTTTCAAGTATCTTAAAAAGAAAACGACACTCTTTTTTAAATAGTGTGGTGATGACGACAGTACTGATTCAGGCTGTTCTCTCCTTATCATAGAATTTGTTTTGTCATTGACGTGTATGCGCGTTGGCGACAGGGTTGCTTTTTCAAACAAAAAACAAGGCTGACATGAAAGAAGAATAGAATATAACAACAAAAACGACAGCAACATTTGATTGTTAAAGATAGATTATTTTATTCTAGTTCGATTTGTTCAATAGATCAGTAAATAATAATTGAACAATGAAACCGACCAAATGCTCTGTAACAGAGTAAAATAATACCCTACAAGTTAAGCATACACATAGTACACAGTGTATAAAGTATACTTCAATTTTAGCTTGTCGTTTATCTCAATAATAAAGAAAAAATGATGACTGAATTTCTAATGAATCTTGTAGATCTATAGTAAAACTCTACTGTTGATGCAAAACAATTATATGAATGCTAATCAGTAGTAGTAGTTTCTATTAGAATTGTTATAGTGCCTAATGAAAATATATGACACTAGCTTGAAGATTACGCTATGTAAATGTGTAGAATTTATATATCGTTGAACGTGTACGCACATCACATTGTTATGCACATTCTCAATCTATGTTGAGAAATATAATTAATTCGAAAGACAAAATTAGTAAGAAAGCAGGAATATTCTGTAATAAAAAAATAATCATCATCATCATCGTATGATTATTTTTTGGTCATATCACCTAAACCAAAGCTTTTGTGAAGAAATCTTATTTTAGATATATTCAGTTGAATAAATACTGATTATTTTGGTGGCAAGTATCTAGGATTCAAGCGCTGCGGAAATAACCGTCATGTTGTTTTGTATGTCACTCTAATAGCGCATCATCTAATATGCTCAATTTAGATTTTTGCACTAGAGCAAGTAATTTCAATAGGAAATGAAATTCGAATTACGAATAACAAATTCTATACATACAAAATAGAATTTATTCTAAATTTACATTGTAGTATCTAATGAAATTTCGACATGAATTTAAATCTCTAGCGTATACAAGGAAAGTACACAATTGGCAAAGCCTTTCTTGGGTGTGCGTCTCTTTTTTATCAACACCTACATCGTCGATATTAAACAATTTTTTCACGTAATTTGTACGCTTCGAATATCTAAGTTTAGGGGAAAAGCTGCTATCGATGAAATATTGTAGACTCAGTTCTCTTTTCTGCCTTCTATTTGTTTGGCACATCTTTTATTTTCAATTTTTAATAATTGACAATAGATTCAAGCGCAAAATTTTCAGAGTAAAAAAGGCAACATCGATGTTCCATTGGCATTTCGGATTCTACTACGAACACTCATGTCATGTACGTCAGATTACACTCTACCTGCCTAAGTTGGGTGTGCGTGTATGTCTTGTTCCACGCGTTCCCACACCCACACCCTTATTTAAGAGAAGTATTTGGAGGAAACCGAAATTATTATTCATTAAAATCTCGGCAACATACGTATGATAGTCTACTTGCTGGTATCTTTGACGTGTCATTTATGGATACTGGTGTTTCGACATATGTCACCAATAATATCTATTGTAATTTGACATTGGTAGGGGCCGATTTCGATAACGGTGTGTTCGGTATAGTTACTCCTAAGCAGTGGATCTATGCGCAAGATTTAGATATAAATATTTTATCATTGAAAGAAATCGATGAACTTGATACTCTAAAAACAAAAATGGTTTCAAGTATCGAACTGTCCTGATTTATCTGAAAAATCGACGCCGATCGGCATTGAAGATACAGGTGGACTATTTTTAATTTTTGAAGTGATTAGTATCTTATCGTTATTATTATTTATATGGAACAAACGGTATAAGTTAAAAGGCAATTCATTTATTCGTAATTGTCGCGAAAAATCCTCGAACAAAACAGAAGAATCGGCGAAAACAGCACCAAACAATTTTTTCGGATTATAGGAGACCATCGAATACAAATGGGTTAGACTATAAATTTCTAAGTGAAAACTGTCTTTGTTACGAGAAACATATTTTCACTGTAAAATTGAACAATGCAAATTGAATCAAGCGGAAAGCAGAAACTGCTGATCACATGATGATGGTAAATCATAAGATTACCGGTTTCATTTTACTAATCGGCATCGATATGAACTAGTTTCGAACGAAACGAGAAACAATAAAAAAATATTTCTTCACTGTTGCATCCCTAGTACAGACCCTTTATAGCATCGTATTCGATTTTGTTCATCATCAAATTAATAAAACTAGTCAACGTTTGTCTCAATACTTTGTTTATTTCCTTGTGAGATTTCGTTTCATAGAAAACAATCATATCATGAGGGTGTGAGTGTGATAAAACTCGAATGAACTAAGAGACATAATAATTGGGACAGGTTAAATTTCGTGTTTAATTTTTAATTTTTATCAATAACGTTCTACATCGCAATATATAGTACTTTAAAAATTTCAGGATAACTGCATGGTTAAAACATGTAATCATCAATTTCGATCTGTTGATACTGATGCTTCGACATATGTCACCAATAATATCTATTATAATTTGACCTTAGCAGTAAACGATTTTTGATAAAGGTACATTTGGTATAATTACTCCTAAGCAATGAATCTATGCACAACATTTGGATGTAACTATTTTATCATTGAAAGAATCAAATGCATTGGATACTCTAAAAGAAATTAGTTTGACGTAGGTAGTTGTCATGCTTCATCTCAAATATCAACAGCAATGCCCATCAAAGGAATGGGTAGATTGTTTTTAATTAACTTTTGCAGTGATTAGTATTTTTATCTGTATGGAAGAAATAAACATGTGCTAATGGATTGAATGCAACGCACAGACGTTACGGCATCGTATTCGGTTCTGTTTATTTTTAAATCTTCTAAATTTCTAGCAGCGTTCTCGAACATTTTCTAATGATGAAATGTCATTTCACAAAGATCAATAATGTCTCAATAAAAGAACCGTTATGCACTAGAAATAAATAGCTCATTAGTAGTGTCAGTCAAGATGTCTTATATGGTTAAGTATTCTTCAATGTTTTTTCGATTTTTTTCTGTCGTTGTTCATATATTTTTATATCGTTGTGCGAAATAGCGGCATCGAAATTCTATTACATTTAGTATTCAAGTTTCAAATTTTGTACCTGAAATTGGCTGTTATCGATTATCATCTGTACAACTAAAGTAGGTAGGTGTGAGTATGAGATGTTTTTAAGATATAACTATGGTCACTTTCAAATGCAGACATATAAGCTGAAGAACAATAAAAATGAAACTAATCAGCTCAAGGTTAGGGTAGGGTGTGAACTGTGACTGACTATCTCATTCATAAACATCTCACACTTACACTCAGCAATTTTGACTGCACAGAAAGATTAAACAAATCCACAGTAAACCATCGAGACCAAGTTTTTCTCATCATTAGATTAATCAGTAAGAAATGATAACGTTGCAGCTCTATTAAGTATATTAAATTTGAATGTATTGAATATAGAATTTCGACAATAAAATATTCACACTTATCTATACACTAATGGCAATATCGCCTTCAAAATGTAGAAAGAAAAATCGAGCGCTATAGTCACAGAGGCTTGATTATTCCCTACTCCTTTTGTGTAGATGCATACGAATAAATTGAGATTAAAAAAAATGTTTCTATACATTTGTATCTATTTATTTTTTTATCAAAAGAAAAGATTAACGTCAAAGTGAACAAAAACAATTGGTAAGCCATATGAATGCTATACAATACAACCAATTCATTGTCTGACGTCAATACAACGATTGTTGAAACATAGGGAGAGAGGTTTTATTGAATAATTCTATCGAAAATATTCATTATTTCCAATAAGCTCTAGTGAATTGCGGTAAAAGAAAAGAAGAAAAAAGAAACGAATAAATAGATAAGATACTCTTCAATGATCTATCAACGAAAGTCAATATCAAAAGAAACAAAAAAGGTATATAAAAATGTTCTTGTACTATCTGACGTCATAAAAACATCGAATAATATATTCATGTACAAAAGATCATTGCAACGAACCACTTCTCGGACTGTTATATCAAGTACTCGACAAATTCATGCAATATCTATGTGGAGTATTAAGAATGAACATTCATCTTCGGATTGCAGTTCTGTAAGTATTATTTAACTTTCATAATTCATAAATGTAAGAAAAATAATCTTAACATTTCTTTTATTCTTCGATAAGTTGGAAGAAATTCGAAGAGACATGAAATAATCCTGCGTGTGTCCGTTATTGGCTTCATTTTCTTTCGCTCTTTCAATCATGAAACTGATTGACTCAGTCAGTCAAGGTTTTAGTTTGATTCGAGTAGCAAATTACTAATTTGTCATATGTATTTACATCATAGAAATGAAAAATCAACAATCATCAAAGCATAAAAACATACTATCACAACAAAACCACAGTTAATTTATCAATTTTGTTAGATATACAAAAGAAAAAACGAGAGAGAGAGAGAGAGATGAAGGTGACCATGTACAATAAAAATAAATATAACATTGTCTTATCGCATGCAATGTTCGAGGACGGTCGATCATGATGGTGTAACTCGAAGCATGGCATATTCTTACTAAAGAATGCCAGAAAGAAACATCCGTCTTAATGGTTTTATAAAAAAAGTTATTATGTAAAAAGATGAAAGCGAGAACTACAAGGGAAGAGGGCGAAAAAAAATTGATGATATTGATCTGTCACCTTTATGAACAGAAAAAAAAATGTATAGCTACTATCAAAACTGTATGTGTCTGAACACAAACGCCTTTTGATTCTTCTGACATACTTATATACAATCGTTTATATATACGTCTGTTAGACCTACATAATCTTTGAGTAAACGACAACATAGATAGAACGGGTTGCTTAGCCTATCTTTCTTCCTTGCTCTTTTTCTTTTCTCCTTTTTTTCTGCGATATTTATATGTATCATAAGAGACGGCAGCGTCAGCGATGACGAAAATGGTCTGTATCTATCACTGATCCACATCATCATCATCATCATCGTTACTACCAATAGTTTTCTGGGCTCTTTTTTTGCTGAAAATGACACACACGCTCACATATACGCGCTTGCGTATATATCAGGCTTATCTTTCACATAGTACTAAACAGTCGGGAGGAAGAGAGGGAAAACAATGTGCACACATGCCTATTCGTATCGTAAGCATATAAAGATAGTATGCAAACTCATTCTCCAACAAGTTATTCGTACTATAGTCATCTAAATCAAATCAAGTAAGAAAAATGAAGACGATTCGATTGTGTATGCGAAATAAAATTTTCTTTCTTTCTTTCTTTTGAATACTTTGATGGTTAACATGGCGGATTAGAATTGTATTGTTCTAATTAGTGTACGACCTGAATCGTTGTGAATTAAGAACAAACAAAAAGAGCAGCTGAGAAGAATATAAGGTGTCTCTCTCTCCCTCTGTCCCCTTTCCTCCTTTTTTCTTTCTCTTTATCTTACATATTTTATACGTTTTTTTTCTCTCTCACTTTCTTCTGCATTCGAAATATGACCAATTGAGGTCCCCGATGAACAATTGTAGTGAAGAGCATAAGGAGAAAAGAAAAACATGGTTTCACCAATACCACCACGAAAACATCACTTATTTCAGGTCAATCATCATGTACGAACTTCTATAATGCTTCTATCAATCATGGAGGGTGCCGAACTTGATCTCAACAATACCGTTCTTTCTTCATCTTCGAAACCAACTACAGTATCATCATCATCGATATCAACTTCAGATGATTATGAAAAAGGTTTGCACATTTTCATTTGTTCCCATGAAAAATATCTTTGTTTTACACTATTTTCAGATCTTCAATTAGCTGCTGAACTTGGCAGATGTTTACTCGAACGAAACCAAGAATTGCAAAGCTACATTGACGTTTTACAAAAACAAACTGACGAGGAACAATCTAATCGAAAAGTAAGTTGAATAGAATCGAAAATAACGATTCCTATGGAGAAAAAAAAAACATTTAATTTTCATGTAATGGATTAACACATATCTCTATTGGCTTTAGTTATTACATGCTAAACTTGAATCAACTCGTGAAGAACTCGATACAAAATGTAAACAAACAGAAACACTAGATGCAGCCAATTTCGATTTAGAACAAGAACTTGCACGACAACGTCGAGAGAATGAAATAAATCGACAACGTATACAAGAGTAAGTATATATACTCAAACATTCAATCAACCGTAAGATATATATATATATATATACAAGCATATTATGATTGACATGCATGTAGACATAGAAATCTTTTCATCATTTTGTGCTTAAATTGTTCATACACATAGAATGTCTAGTCATCTCGTCTTTGTGACATAGGCAAAAAATTGCCCTTCATAATTGATCAATTCAGATCAATATTTATAGATTTTATTTCTAGGCTATCTGATTTATGTGAAAAAACACGTAAGCAATATCATGATGTTGAAAATGAATATGAAACATTTCGATTAAAACAATTTGAAACACATTTCTTTCCTAAACTATCAAGTTCACCTGTAAAAAAATCGAATATTTTGTCGATCAAAAAACTACAGCGTTCTCATTCGCTTAACTTAAATTCAACATCTAATCAATCATCGAGTCTATCAACATCTTCGAACGTATTCGACATATCGTCAACATCAATTTTCAAAACACATCTTACCGAGCTTAAATCACGTATTAATACTCTAACAGATGAATGTTCACGGTTGAATGAAAAACTTGACAAGTCTGATAAAGAAAAACGCTATTTAGTTGATCGAATAACAATTCTCGAACGGCAACGTCGTGATGATAATGATTCATTACAAAATGAATTAAACGACTGTAGAAAACTGTTAGAAAAATATACGAATGATAATTTAAATTCAATTTTATCGACAATCTATTCGCCACCCGAACATGAAGTATCATTATACGATGAAGTTCTATTAGAAAGTAAACAATCAATAAATAAACTATCATATGAACCAACAAACTATAAAGTTTTATTTGCACGTGTTTATGATAAATTAAAGATAAATAATAACAGCGATCGATGATTTTTCTTTTATACATATTGTACAAAACAAAAACTTTTTCTTTTGGTACGTTCTTCATGATTTTAACTTGAAGTATTTTTTTTAATGTGTTCGTTCGATTTCTTTTCGTCATGAATGGGTTGATTCTATTTCTCTGAATTAGTCATTTTATCTATTTGTTATCTAGTGTAGTTCGTATTTATATATACTGTTGATAGATGTTAAAATTGTGTAACTTGCACAACGTTTGTTCGTTTACTTTTTTTTTAACAAGTATCTATCACATAATGTATTTGTTCGTAATCTCGTACACATTGTCTTTCTTTTCAGGGCAATATAGTTTATGTGTGTGCGATTCTTTTCTCTCTTTTTTTTTCTATTTCAACGTTTTATTCTTTTCCCTATTGTTCATTTGTTTATTATTCATTGAATAGTTTCGTTATAGTTAATTGTTTGACTTTTTTTTCTAAAGCTTTTTAACACAAAGAAATACCGACGGTTGATATATATTATTTTAAAAGCAAACTGAAATCTTTTAAACACTTCTCATTGATCTGATATTTATTATTTGTCTTTGGCTCAGAATTGAAGAATGAAATTTTTAATCTATCTCGATAAATTTAATCGATAGTGAATATTAAAAACAAAAACTTTCTCTATGCCAATATAATAGGATTAATTTTATCGCTAAGTTAAATAATTGCCGTGTTTTTAAGTCAAAGTGCAGTTATGAAACGGTCAACAATAAAGAAGAAATGATTGACCTGAATAAAATATAAAGGTCATTAACTTGTAAAATATCAAGCATACTGCCTATTTATAATGATATGGTTTTTAAAAATGTTGAGTTCTTACTGATATATATATATATATATACTTGCATGGATGATTTCAACAGCAAAGACCAAAAGTGACAAGGTCTGATTTGGCTTGCAGTGAAGCCCAATCAACGAACTAGTATCTTGAAATAGAAACAGAATATTTACATATCGATGGGCAATCTTGTTTACAAGTGCTAGTTAGAAATCAGTTCATCGAAGCACAAAAAGAAAAAAAATCTGAAATAGCAGTTTTCGTTCGTACTTATTTTCGGTAATGAGTATCAATATTCTCCAATAAAAATTATGTTGGAAGAAGAAAACAAATTCATGGGTATTAAATAGTTCTATTTAAACACTTTTTAGTTTCACACTTTGTACTTTTATTTACCCAACGATATCAACAATTGTCGTTTCTTTTTGCTATATATAAGAACGATATTTAGATTTACTCAATATTATTATTAATACAAACTGGAAAAAACACATAAAATGACTATGCATTGCTTTCTAATCATAAATATTTTTCTCTTGATTAATAAATCAATGGCATGTACAACACCTACCTTTGAAAATTTAACAGTTCCATCGAATTTTAGTTTAAATCGTTTTCTTGGCCTATGGTACGAAGTAAAATGGTTACCAGGTGAACCACATAATGAATCTGATATATGGCGAGATTTTTCTCAAGAATTTCAATTAGAAAATAATGTTAGTCAACGTCTTATCGTAGCCGGTAAAGCACGATTACCGAACCAAGCACAATGTTTTTCAGTTGGTCCTTGGTCAATTCTGGCAAATAATAGTGCAAAAATGATTCTTGAAACGAAAACAATCAATAGTAACACAACTCTGAATTGGCCTTATTATATTGTAAAAATTGATTATGATCATTATGCATTAGTCTATGGATGTATGTCACAGAATTATACGAATAATGATGCATGCGAAGAACCTATATTATGGTTATTTAGTCGTACGAGATCTTTATCAACTGACTATCCAAATCCACTTGATAGTTATATTGAAAATACATTATGTATTAATTTAACAAAACTTAAAATCACTCCACAGAGCGAAACTTCATGTTATTCATCATCAAGTCTAAAAAACTATTCAACGAATAAAATAATTATTTTTAATTTACTTATTTTATATTTATCTCTAATATACAAATAAATTCGTCTGACAAAAAAAAACATGACTAATAATAAGATATTGTATTGTATAGAAGCAAAAATAGATGAGCCATTTAATCGTCAACTTTATTACGAAGTGAATGTGATTCTCGCTTGAGCACCTAAAATAAAAATAGTCAATTAATTGATTTACGATAAAGCAAGTTTTTTTTTTACATTAAGAAGTGTTTGTGAACTTTCAAGAATTTTCATATAAGCAGCTTCTGTTTCACCGATTGTTTGATCGAATTCAGTTCTTGCTGTAGTTTTTCTTGCTAAATTTTCATTAATTTTCGACAACTTGTCACTTGCAAATCTTATTTCATTTTCAAGTCTATGTTTATCTTCTTCTTCAATTAAGATTTGTCGTTGTAATTCATCACGTTTCGCACATAAATCTTCGATACCTAAATTAGAATATTTTTACAAAAGTCAAGGAAAGCAATAAGAGCGTACATTTAACTAGTTCATTGTTATAGTTTTGTAAAGCAGCACCTTGTTGAGACATGATACAAAGATCGATTGAATTGAGAATTTGTAGCAATTCTCATTTTTTTCTTATCGTCCGACACCTGTCATGTCAGTTCCATGGCAATATAGATATAGAAAAATGATTCGTTCTCTTTCTTTCTGTGCATTCTAGCAAGTTAGTTAAGCAATGAAACCGCGGAATGGATTGGGTAAATTATGGAATAAGCAGAACTCATCCCGTTGATTGATGATGGCATTGTAAACAACAGGAAGACAACGAAGGAATCTTTGCGTTCTGTCTTTTCTGTTCGCGTTTAGGTTTTCTAGTCTTTGACATGGGATGTCTATTCTCATATTTCGTTCGTTCCACGGGCAGTGCCGACATTATTGAAACTCCACGTCAAGTATTCTCATGGTAGCAGCATGTTTTCACATGACTATTGTACATAGTTTATTTGTTCTTTTAGGGAAAAAGAAGATCGTAAAGCAATAAGAAAAGAAGATTTTATTCTTGACAAAATTAAAGATGAAACAATATATCGATTGCCAGGTTCTATTAATGGACAGCAATTTATTGGTAAGATTAACAAAATATTAAAAAGTAAATATGATTTTTTCAATTTATTCATTTTGATATTTCTAGTGCAAAATTGTGACGTGAGCTATTATGATTATACTTGTTGAAAAGTCAATTATTTCTATTTATAGAATTGTACTGTCTATGTATTTGATCATGCAGGTCAAATACAAATCGATGATTGTACGAATTGCCGAATTTTTATAGGTCCTGTTCGTGGAAGGTATAGGAAAATACGTTTTTGGCATCAAATAAATGAATTTTTCCTTTAGTATTTTTATTCGAGATTCAACAAATTGTATATTAGCTACAGTGTGTCAACAATTTCGTACGCGAGATTGTCGCGATTTATATGTTTACCTAACATGTGCTAGTCAGCCAATTATTGAATCATCACATAATATTAAATTTGGATGTTTAACTTTTAATTATGATAAATTATCCGGTAAGATTAATTCATATTGAACAAACAAATTTTTATGAAATGTAAATATTAGAACAATATAAATCAGCTGATATCAGTCCATGGAATAATACTTGGGGCAATATTCATGATTTTACATCAATTCCAGATTCATCAAATTTTTCTTTACTTAACGCAGTAAAATTTTTGAATTTGAATTTTCTTGTTTTTATTTTCTTGAATAGAATGAACATGTATTTAAACATCTACCAATTCCAACAGATCCATCATGTAGTCATTTGAATGTCAATGATAGTATGGAAACAAGTGTAACACCTTATACCTACGGTGAATTATATCGTCATCGAAATGAAGAAGTAAATGATTGATGAAGTATTTTCAAAAATGAAATTCTTCGTATTTTAGCGTTGTTTAGTAGTATTGTTTCATCATATAAATGCTGAAGTTTGTGCTCGGGAATTAATTGCAATAGCAAAACAAGCTGATGTTCGTAGATGAATATTTTATTTTTATTTTCGATAGAAACAAAAGATTTGTCTTCATTTAAATTTAGATTGTACTTGTACAAACAAAATCTTATTCAATAAGTGAAATGAGTGCATCAAGATTATTTTCTGGCAATGCAAAATATAATTCATTGGTGACGAAAGGTCCTGTTATAGGACTAGAATTTGCTGGTGCAACTTGTGTGGAACCATGTCAACAATTACTTAATAGATTAATTCAATCAAAATATCAAAATTTATCTTGTAAAATTCTTTTTCAATGAATGAAAAAAACATTTATTTCCATCTTTTTTTTGTTTTTAAGATTTTATTAGTGAATCAGCAACAGATGCTCGGGAACAACTTGATAAATTTTACAATTTTGCGAGCATGCAAATGTTTACATAGAATGATTTTTTTCTTATTGTGAAATAGAAGTTTTGACAATCTATTCATATTTAACTGTGCTTTAATTATGTTGTATTTGTAATTTATGCTGCTTTTATCCGTCCATAGAAATGTCGAAAAAGAAACGATAGAGAAAAACAAATAAAATATTTGCTTATGTTTTGTAGATTTGCTTATTCTCTCTTTTTTTGCGTCTCAATGGTAAAATCTTATTCAAGACAATGAAAGAATGACAGCAACAGGTATAAATCCGATTGAAAAAAATGGCGATCAACAACGTTTAAATGAAGGTGGTGCAAATGATAATGACGATAAACTTGTGCAAGAATTTAGTCATCTTTTGGAAAAATCTAAACAATTATTTAATGGATTGAGGTAATGATTGATGTTTTTTTCTTCGGAAAGTTTTCTATATCCATAGTTCATTTCAGGGATCTTCCACAATATGGTCATAAACAATGGCAGCCATATTTTGGACGAACATTTGATGTATATACTAAATTATGGAAATTTCAACAACAACATCGGTATAGAAAATTCTTTTCTTTTCTTTTTATTCGTGAATTTTATTATTTGTTAAATTAGAGTTCTTCTCGATAAAAAATATAATCTTAAACGTTGGCAAATAGGTGAAATAGCTTCAAAAATTGGTCAACTTTATTATCATTTTTATATTCGAACATCGGAAATCAATTATCTAAATGAGGCATTTTCATTTTATTCAGCCATCCGTACACGTGCTTATTATTCAAAAGTCAATCGAGAAGAAAAACCTGATTTAATGGTTAAAAAGTTACGTTATTATGCTCGCTTTATTGTTGTCTGTCTTTTATTGAAAAAAACAAAAATTATGCGTGAATTAGTAGGTGAATTGAATCGTCAAATAGATGAATATGTTAAAGCTTATGATCCTGACGATAGTCTTGAATGGCAACTTGTTTTAAATGAAATATCAACATTTATCGATATTGATAATCAATTAAATATTGATCAAGTACCAATAGCATTATCATATCGATTAACAAATTCATTGATACCACCATTACCATTAGGTTCAGAAAAAGTCCTATCGAATATTCAATTATATTCAGTCGAAGAAATACTCATCATTGGAAATTATCAAGATCAAATCAAATTCAGTGAACGTATGTACATAAGAGAAAGATGTATTCTGCTTGAGGATATTCGTAAACTTGGTGATTTAATTTGCTTGTCATCGAGTTTATTCAGTTACTATAAAAATGAACCTATTTTTTTACTCTTTTCTCTGTTTTTTAGTTACGATTGATATGTATCGAATGTTGCAAGCTGTTGAAAAACAGCCGATTGAATCTACATCGTCCTATGACGAAAAATCTACTATGCAATCTCCAACATCGACAAATCATCAACAACGCGACGTTTATGTAAGCATATTTAATTAATTAATTATTAGAATTTTTATAATTGTCACATGAGACGACATATTTCTATGAAAATGTGTTCTCTTGTTGACAATAATATCGTGACGGATGATATCTGGTCATTTATTGTTTTATTTTACTTGCACATTGTCTCTTCGAACATCAAAAGCACTTGAATAACTCGAGTTCATTGAAAATTCCAATAAAGAATAGGGAGATAATTATTTCGTTTAATATTTCACGGCTACATGCCATCAGATTGATTCAACTGAGAATAATTAAATTTTTATTTAGAATCTTTACGATGGTGATTTTCAAAATCGGCTAAATCCTCATAAATATCTCCTATACAAACCAAATTTCAGTCAAATCTATGCATTTACTGCTTCTGCCTTTAAAGAATTACCAAATAACGGCATTCTTTTTCTCTATATCTCTGCCGATGGTTATGATACACATTTGAAAAGTAAAGTCGAACAATCATATGATTTTGGTGGTGTTAAAACAAATAATCGTTGCGATGATAAAATTGAAAATGCCAATTCTCCGCCAACATCAGCAACGAATACACTAGGAAAAAAATCTTCGTCATCAATTTTAACAACAACAACGGCGACACCACCCATAGGACCTGTTAAAGATGTTTATAATATATTTCCAGGAGATCTCTATCCATTTCTACGCAAACCATTATTTTTAATCATCGACAGTAATAACAGTATTGCTTTTCAAAATATGCCAAATTTATTTGGTCAACCATTTATATCATTACTTTCGCCTATTAAATTACCAACAGTATTTCATGGTAAGAAATAATATATTTTTTTGAAAAGAAAAGTCAACACAAAAAACAATGCTTTTTTCTTTTAAAATAGATTATCAAAATAAAGGAAGTTTATTTACGTTATTTTTAACATCACCCGTATTTGCATTTTGTTTCGTGTGTCATGTAAATGATTTAACAAGTGAACAATGGAATTTATGTCAAGAACATATAAATAAAATTATTTGTGAAATAACAAAATTGTTTCTCAAATCAAAACTTGTTGGTAAGAAACATTTTAATCTTTTGACGCAAAAAAAATTAGCATTCCTGTCTTCTTTTTCTTTGTAGATAGTACAATTTACCATTTTTTTGCGGATGAATTTTTACGTTTATTTCTATCGCGATTTGTTTTTTGCTATGCAGTACTACGTTTACATCGAGCATTTAAAGTAAGTTTATAGTTCTATTAATTAATTAATCTAGTCTTTAATGTGAATGAAAATTTTAGGGATCTGGTTTTTATCCATCATCTCAACCTCAATTATCTAATGATCTTCTTGAAAATGTTCAAGTTCATAAGATGATTCTCGAATTATCAGCTATGTTAAGTGTTCGTCAACTATTTCTCGAAGGACCGTTGATAACTGCCGATTTACTTGCGTCGAATTAGCAGTCCAGTCGTTTATAATACAAAATCTCATGGATTTTTAGTCTTCCGATGTATCGTGTATTTAATATTTTATGTTCGTGTTCAAGTGTATAATCCATTATGATGTAGTCAATACTTTTAATGTCAATATTTAATCATGTTTGCTGTGTTTAAGTGTCTTTTTTCTTGTCTTTATTGTCAACGATGTGTCTGATGTTTTGTGCATATACGAAAATTTTTTTTTCTTTCTGCTTGAAAGCAATGATAGTCATAGATAAAATTGATGATTGGCGGAAACACAACAAAATAATTTGATGATAAAAGTCGAATCTGTTGCTTTTTAGTGATGGGACCGGTTCGGTTCGGTCCCAAATATTGAGAACCGATTTCATCTAAATATATATTCGAATATATTTGTAAACCTGTTCATTTAAAGTGAATGAAGAAAGAATAGAACATTTTTATGCCTTACTCAACTGTTTCATAAATCTTCAGAGATGAGCAATAGTTTTGTTCATCATTCAGTATATATTTTTACAGACAACCTTTTAGTAGCAAGCGCTAACATACAAACAAATATTAATTGATCATCAATTTTCATTATTTTTCAATTGACTAATTAAACCTCGCCCTGTTTTGAACTTCAAAATTATCTTTAAAATATAGCAATAAANGTTCCACCGTCCACGAAAGTTGCGATATTGCTGCTTTAAAAATAATTTTTGCATGAAATCATTGATTTTCACAATTTTTCAAGTGAAAATGAGTGTAAGAACAAAAATTATCGTGAATATTCCATCTTTTTACCATTAGTATGCACGGAACTGTAGGGGAACTGATGAGGAATTCCTAATCCTCAGTCCTTGGACACCTCTCGTATGAAGATGATGATTGCTTGTAAACGTTGTTTGGATTAATTGGTGAAATCAAAGAATGAGTATAATCATTACGATGAATTAAATTGCTTTTTATTTTTGACATGCAAGTAACGCCTTCTCCTGACTGATGAGATGCATAGAAACTTAAGAAGACTTATCAATAATTAGTGAATCAAGAAACTGGCTAAATAAATTTTTACCGAAAGATACAGGATTTTATTTGCTAAAAAAAGGGAGTATATATGAAACAAACGAATGAGAATTTTTTTATACAGCGTAGTTGTTTTGCAAGTACAACATAAAATAATCCTCACAAAATAAGAGTGTTTTGTAAACTGTGAAAACTTTGATAATGAAATTGAAATAGTGCTTAGCAATTAGTTTTTTAATTAAATCTTTCTACATGATTTACAATAAATTAGGGAAAATGAGAATAGTTTACAATCAGGTCATGATGCATTTCAACGATTTCAAACAAGAGTTTTCCTATTTTTGTTTGTCATTTATATACTCTCGGAAAACTGTTACAGATCATTATGGTCGTTGACTAAATTATACGTATAGAATACCTATATTTAAATTCAGATTATTCGAAATTCGACTTCTTCGTAAACACAAACTAGAGAGAAAATAGTAATCAAAGCCGGAATATCTTGAAAATTTCTTTTCCTTTAGGTCATATTAGCATGTCTAATGATACGTGGTTTAATTATTCTCTCATCATGGATGATCAACTTTCTCGAGATGATCCTCTATTTTGAAGTCGACCAACACCGATGTATTGTGATATTGTACGGGTTGTTGGTATTTTCCTGTCTATTGCAGCATTCATAGGGATCATTTTAAATGGAGCTCTTGTTTACAGCTTTATTCGATACAACGTTCTTCGCTCATCACCAAATATACATGTGATGTTCATCGCAATCATTGGTCTTATGGCATCCTGTTCGATTTTACCATCAACTGGAACATCATCAATTTATTGTCGATGGTTATATAGATGTTTCTATGGTTGTTCAAGTTCATATTTACTTTGTACAGTTAGTCTAAGTCGATGCTATATTATTATGCGTCCATTTCACACTAATAAAGTTACGGTAAGTAGAAAAAGGATGCATTGATTTATTCTATGAAAAAAAGTCTCTTAAATGAATATAGATTGAAAACTCCGTTTGCATTTCAAGCGTTGTTGTGTCGATCTCTTTTGTTTGGTCGATTTTACCAATAATTGGATGGAATGAATATACTTTAGAGGTTAGTTTTTCTAATTTTATCTACTAGGAGTAGAATATTTCATTTTAGGGAACTCGCACTTCTTGTTGTATTAATTGGTACGACCAACGTCTTTCCTATGTATCGTTTACATTTTTTTTGTTTTTTGTTGTCTATTTGATTCCCCTATTGATTCTTATTGCCATTAATACTGTCACGTTAATTGGGCTTAAGCGTATGCGTGATAAAGCAAGGCATGGCATGTGTACAATATTTACTGCAAAACGAATTGAAATGGAACAACGTATTGTTAAAAGTAAGAATTTATTGAAAGGAATACTAAAGAAAAACATTTTTTGCTGCTTTTTAAACATAGATATTGTTATAACGACAGTCGGCTTTACATTTAGTTGGACTCCGTATGCTGGTGCATTGTTTGTTTTAGCACTTTGTGGCAAACATTATGCTATTCCACCATTGGCTACTTTTATGTGTGATTGTTTTGCTAAAACATCAGTTATATGGGTTCCATTACTTTATATGAGTACGTACAATTCGATCTATGTTGTCCTAAGAATAATTTCGAATGATTTCGAAACAGCACATCAGACATTTATATCTCTTGAAAGTGAAGCATCAGTATGATATGTGTTAAACATAGTGTTATTCTATTTTATACAAATGTATCACAGCATAAACATACAATTCTAGCTATGAAGTATTTCCTGAGATGAATATATCGAAAGCGAGACTTAATTTAATTATTTTTTTACTTATATATTTAGTAAGTGTTATTTACTGCTGTAAAATCTATCCTTTATATTTTTTATTTGTTTCTTCAAAATAATGATGTTAATCTAATTTTCTCACAATTGAACCAACATTGAAATGAGGTGATTGACGTCTACCACTCGCCTATTTTTTCTCTGGATCTTCTTGAATACTGATCGATTCACCTGTTTGACATATATAATCATATTATCACATTTTATTTGTCAGCTTGAAACGTACAGCGTCCTTTAGATACACATTTAGTTGATTCTAGTGACTCAGATCTTGCTAGTACTTCATGACGATATGTACTCTTTGTAATTTCTTCATTATGGAAGGTATAGGTTTAACTTTATGTGGTCGATTTTGTCTTCTGGTCATAGCTAGCAATAATCATATTCTTGAAATCGAATTCAATAGTTAGACTAGACTAGTAGAGTCTATTTGAAAAATACATAAGAGCACATTTTCATGATGCAAACAATGTGAGACGGACTGTATTCATGCATAAGTGAATGACAAACATTGAATGAGTAAAACAAATGCTTAGGTTGTCATTGTAACACGTATTATGGGCTCAATACGATTACACAAAAGGTGTACCTTAACGTGTCTTTTTAGTTCTCATCGAAAAAATTCTAAAAATACGAGTATCCAAAGTTATCGGTTCATACGTGTGATTATTTTGTATTCTATAATTACTCTCAACTTGAAATTTGTGTCATTTTAATTCAATCGATTGATGATGAAAAAATTTGGTTTGTCTCTTCAATTTCTGATGCAATGCAAATATAACCTCATATTGAAACTCTAATTATATCAAATTGGTAGCATCGTTGTCTTCAACTGGAAAAGAGCTGATAATGAACATGTAGCTCTTGAACATTCAAAACTGGCTGGTATCCACAATGATCTCGATTTATTGTATTCCTCCATTCAAGAACAAATTGATTTTCTCTACAAATATTCAATTTTTTCTTTGATCACGATGCGCATTTGTCGGAAGATCTATGAAAACAAACTGCTGATCGTATTTGGTTTTAACTTTATCATGATGTTTTCTGTCGGTTAAAACGCGATAAAGAAAATATGAGCGATGTATGTCATTCCTATTATCGACATAATATCAAACAATTCGAAGTGATTGAGAAAGTTAAAAATGAATGCCGATCAGAAGAAGCTCTTCGATGGCATTTCAAAAAATCATTGAGAATCAAAGATTTTGACCAACTTTATACATTTCGGTATTTTTTGACAGATCTGATAGAATGTCTCGTTTGAGAACATCAAACAATGATTCAGTCTACTAAAGAAATACAAATCGTCTATCGACAAATGAAACTGGCAATAGATCAACTCACGAAATTCAAAGAGAATGAAGGGAAATTGCTTTCAGTGAAATGATCTTTTCACAACAAGTATTCTTCGTTCAAACTCTCGTTGAGTCAAGCGATCCAATCTTTGAAACAAGCTGATCTTATTTTTCTTTCGACTGGAGAGTATGACAACAGAGAAAGAACTTAGGCTGATCGAAATGACTGTGTCGAATAAAGATCAAATTATCAAAGAAAAGTACGTCAAATAGTCACATTGTCAAATGGAAGATCGTAGCAGCAATATTCGGGTGGCGGTATGTTCGCCAATAAGACTTTCGCCAATAAGACATTCGCCAATGGCGAAGTTCCACCGAATGTGTTGGCGAAAGTACAGTGGACTTTTGCCAATTGGCGAAGTTCCACCGAAATGATTATACAATTCGAATGGCTATAATGAAGATCTCGTAATGGTTGAATGTAGTCTTGATGAAGTTCGTCAATGGAAAGGAGAATGGAATGAAGCACGGAAATATTATGATCGTGCCTATGATCGAATGATAAATTCTCAACCAGCACAGAACAACGACTTAGCTTATGTACTCTTCAGAACAGGTGAAATTCTCCATGTCGACGGAACATACGAAGAAGCTCATGATTATTTTATGGACGAACATTGGCAATGCGAAAGGAAAATTATTCATCTTTTACGTTCAAGAGATCATCTGCATCAAATCGTCAACTGAGCAAAACTAATTTACAAGGAATGTGTCCAACCATACTGAAAACCGACAGGTTGCAAACGGGCAAGAGTAATCCAAATAGTCATGTGTTTATTGCTACTAGTGGATGTAAACACTATCATGTGTAGTCGAACATGTTTCTTCTTACGTCTTTTTATTATACTTTTCTCTAGCTTATTGCAATTATCATCCATTCATATTTTATTCGTGCCTTTCCAATATAACAAGCACTTAACGGATACTGTTGATCGAATAGGTGGTAAGTGAGTCATTTAATCATTTTGTTTTCTCGCTGCTTTAATAACAATGAGTTAATTTCACGGGTGTGGGTGTGGGTGTGGGTGTGGGTGTGGGTGTGGGTGTGTGTGTGGGTGTGGGTGTGGGTGTGGGTGTGATTTTGAGTCTTATCCACACCCCCACCCACACTCTCAGGAGCGGG